CCAGTGTCAACCATCTCAAAACAAAAGCGAAGATATTAGAACATTCGCTACGAACTTATCATTAGATCATACACAAATTATTGTGCCTCTTTTAGTGTATGTAGTTATGCCGATATCCAGAGTCCTTAAATATGACGGAATGCATGTAACAAATGTGCTAGTCAACATGAACCAACCATCAAATGATGCGACATGCTACGTCACAAGGTATGATAATCAATGCTCAACCGTGACCACATGAAATATCAATTGACACTTAAACTGTAAGCACTCATTGCTATAAATTCGAAGATAATGGGCTTTTCATATTTGCCTGACATGGTTCGATGGTGCGATCCGCCGCGGGGCTGCCACGTTTCGGACAGAGCCGTTTTTGAACACCCTGAAACCAAAAAGTACAGCAACTGCTGGTTGATGCGCAGCTGATGAATCAGGTCGACGGCAGGTTTAGCACGTGCCCCGACCTAGGCTTGAATGCCACAACGTCCCTTTCCAGACCTCTCCGGCACAGGTCTTGCCGATGGGTCCAAAAAAATTCGATCCCGTGGTCGTGCCGTCCAAGCTCGGTGGCAGATGGTGGAGGCTCAGCTCGTTGCCGTGCAGCTGGCAGATGAACCAGTGTACGGGTGAATCGGTGACCAGCTCAAACAGCCGGAGCACGTCGCCTATCGTTTCGGTGTTGATGGCTGTGTCATCGCAACCGAGCACATTGATGTGACCGTCGCACTGCGGGCTCACGGAGTACAGCTCGTTAAAAAAGCGCAGGGCGCGACTGAACTCGGACGTAAAATGAGTCACGTAGCTGCTGCCTGGCTCAGTGATGACAACCACGTGTCTTTCGACGGCATCCGTCTGGCTCCGTGTGGCTCATGTAGCTCTTACCTTCGCGTCCGTCGGAGTAGAAGATGGTCAAACCTGACTCGTGGATTGCTTCAAAATTTTAATGAACCATCTCCTTTCCCGTTCTGCCTCTTGCGCATCAGATCTTCTTAGGATCTACGATATTTGATTTCAAGTAGCCAGTCCGTCTCTGTTGTCTTGTTCAAACGCGTTGATGATAGCAGCAGCGGCCCGGTTTGAGCCACCGTAGCTGCCAACTACCATAGCGGTGTTAGTCAGATCGTTGACGTAATAATGTACAGTGACGGTGGTCAACCGGAACGAACATTCGGCGTCGTCGCCACCTGCTACCATGTACGGAACCGCGTGCGAATCCGTGCTCTCGGCTAACTCGCCAGCGCTGAGACCACTTGGTCCCGGAGCATGCTCGGGGTCAGCACTAGTAGCCAGCGCTGGCTGAGCAGACGGCGTCGGTTCAGCAGTCGGCGGGGAGGGCGATTCAGGTTCAGCAGCAGACACCGCCTTACTGGCGGCTGAGCCACGGCGCCCCTGGAGTTGCCTAGCCATCCTCCTCATCTCGCGAGCCTCCCTAGCCACACAAGTATACCGGTCATATGACCTCAGGGCAAGCTTCCGGTGCCTGCACTGGTTCTTCATGGCAACCTCCCCCCGACACACTGTGCAGGCAATTGGGCATGGAAAGTTGCACTGAGGCTTGCACTGGCATTTCGCGACATCAAGAAGCTTGTTGAATTTCGCAGTGGCGGCGTTGCTGTGTCTCTCTCTTCCTTTCTTTGATCTCTTGCTGATAGGTCTGTTGGGATGATATCAATCCCTTTCGATCAATTTTGTCACGTATTTTGGATGAAACAGG